GGTAAAAAAAAAAAAAAAAAGGGGAACGGCACACCGTTACTCCATTTTCGAGACGAGTAATATTTCCCCGTCGCGTATCGCGCGACACTTGTTGTAATTACGGGCGCAACGTGCGTGGAAAGAAGAAGGCGACGGTGAAGAAGAGGGAAGGCTCGAAGGGAGAGCGATGGACGTTAGAAGGAACGGGGGGGAAAAGTTTCAATTGCCGATCGATCCGGCGATCCGGATATCATTCGGTGAAACATACCCCGTGGCAGCTGGCGGTCGCAATTTTCGAAATATCCGACCTACAAATCATTCGCGCCCCAGTAACCAACCCGCGCGCACTTTAATTTCGTTCCTCTCCTCTTTTCTTTCCTCGATATTTCTCTCCCTCGCCCTCTCCCTCTCTCTCTCTCACCCTCTCTTGTTTTTCTCCTCTACGTCGTCGCGCTTCNTTTCGAAACGAGCGACGAGCGAGACACGGTTTTATTTATCGGCGATCAACGGGGCGGGGGGGATCGATGCCACGGATCTAACACTTGCACTGGTGTAATAATATTCATGCAGCCGAGCATGGTGCATCGTCACGAAGCGCGTCGTGCATTCCTTGACACGATTACGCATCGATGCGCGACGGAAACTTTACGCCCGTTTACGTCGTTTATTATATATCCCTTGATTCCGCACGGTCAGCATCCAACGATCAGATCGCACCGGTATCCATTTTTTTTTCCACAGTGGAACAGTCAGAGAAAGACAGGAAGAAAAAAAAAACACTCACTACGCAGTTTAACGAATAAAATCACGCACAACGTCGTTTCCCGTGAAACGAAATTCTCGCACGTCTATCGTCCTCGCGACTTTGTGCCCGATTACGACGATATTGTTATTTCCCCCTCTCTCGATGGCAACACCGTGCTCGAAAATTTCCTGGAATTTCTCGCTGCGAACTTTCGTATATATAAACGAAGGATTAAACGGCGCAGAAATTTTGTGTTTACAAAATCGAAACGAGCACGGGCCGTATTCGAATTTTCAAAACAAACACTCGCGTTTCTTTTATACGACACATATGCGTTTTCTCGATCTCGAGGGCGTGCATCGAACGTTCGAATATTCCTTTTTTAAATCCAGCATTCCTCGTGGATGGATCGTGTCCACTTGCCGCCGTTTTTTCCATTTTTTTCACACGCTCGTGGATCGCACCGTCACGTCACGATGCACCGTCGCGTTCGCCGGATGATTCTTCTTCCGTCTCGTGATCATGGCACGTCGAGGGCAAGGAGAGAATTTTTTTTTTCCCGACCTCGACTCCCGTTTTTTATCGTATCTCCACGGTGGCCACGATCGTTGGACGCCGCGTTTCCGTGGGTGTCGCGTTGAAAAGGGGGTCGAAAGCGTGGCAAGAATCGTGAGGACGGAATCTTTTTTCCCTTTCCTCGAAAAGTAGTCGCACCTTGGCGGGGGATGCGCGCGCGAAACCACCACGAGTGATGCTGGGCTCGGACTGGAGCCTCCGGCGTGGCGCTAGCGTCGCCACGACTCGGGCCAAAGCGGAATCACCACCACCCCGCGCCCCGCCCCGCCGTGTCCACCACCCTGATCGGCCACGGGGTGGTAACAGTGGCGGAGCCCGCCAATCTACTACCCCGCGCCTTCTTCTTCCTCCTCTTCCTTTTCCTTTTTAACATTTTCCTGAATTATGCGTCGAAACGAGTGTTTCGGACGGTGGAAAATTATCGATTCGAAAAATTGTTAAAAAAAATTGGAAAATCGTGGAGAGAATCTCTCTCGTCGGTGGAAGGGATTTATCGAGCGCGAAGACGTCCGTCCAGACATTAAACGCATTCCTCTCTCCTTCTCTATTATTTTTTCGCGAGCGAAGATTTCGCCATCTTTAATTTTATTTTTAACAATTCAAGTTCGAATTCAAATTTCATCTAAATTTCTAATTAAATTTCTAATTAAACAACGCGATATTGTCAATATACGTTTCATAAAGAAAGAATGTATTTTTACGTCGAGAGAGAGGGAGTTGGAATTGAATCTCAAGTTAATCTCAATTTGAGCGAATTTGAAGAAATCTTTATCCTTTCCATTCGTCTTATTTCTATTGTTGAAAAGACAAATAACGTAATTATATTTGAATTGTAGCATCCTTTGAGAAGCGGATTTCGCAAAAAGTTAATGTAACGGCAAATCTATTCAATAGTAAATATAGTACTTTGATGTAGTACGAAGAGATTACATATAATCAGATAGAATAAATGATGAAAATTTATTAATTTAAATTAATCGAGATCGAAATGTTGCATAGATGCGTTTTCATTTCGGATATTTAATTTGAGATTCGCTTTAACGATTCCTCTTTAAATTAGAATGGAGATGCGATAAAAAAATACATAAAATGTAATCATGTTTCAAAATTCGAGATATTGCGAGATCTTCAAGATCTTACGAGATATGTATACATGTGCTTCGTTACGGAATCGTTACGAAGAATAATACTACTGTAGATATAAATGATTCGGAGTTTATTGTAAAATCTTGGACGGTTCTTAAGGTTTCAAAACTTGACCGCAAAACTAAGCTGAAACTCAACTTTTCGCCCGAGAATTCAACTTAAAATTAAAGTTTAAAGACTTATAACTTCGTAACACGCCGTCCCGCTTGATCCCATGGGCGAGGATAGTTAACTCAATAGCCTATCTTTAAAACGTACGAGCGCATCGAGACCCCCCTTTTCCCCAACATAAAACACCAACGATATCGTGTGCATAATAATTTCGTGGTCCCTGGAATAATTAACAGGTAAAACAATGGTCGATAATAAACAACAATACAATCGATACAAATAATAATTTTCTCGACTTCATCATCGTCGGAATAATATTGAACGATTGCACACGTTCGTTGGTCAAACAAATGGAAATTCGGGAAACGCAATATTCACGAAACAACGTTTTCGTCTAATTTGTTAAAATGTTTGCATCGTTCATCCCTTCCCCTTCCCCTTATTTTTGCGTTTTATTTTCCTGTATTATTTTTTTTTTTTACATATAAATAAAAATCTTGAAAAAAAAAACGCCTCGACTTCTTTTTTATCACCTGTATCGCGAAATATTCGGTGTATCCGTGTGCCGCGAGCGTATTCCGTGAAACTAAGTTAATTAAAACGTGATATCAGATATCGGTTTGCGCGAGACAAGCGCAACTGCAGGACGATGGGACCGTGACGAGGGGAGGGGGGAGGTTGATGTCTCGTGCAAACTGAGCGGACCAACGAAATAACGATTGTGTCGTTCCAATGGTGGTAGTTATTGTTCTACTTGGGACATGATCAAAAAACCAAAAAAGATCGGATCAAAAAAAAAAAGAGAGAGAAGAAGAATGAAAGGAAACGAGAGAGAGAAAGGGAGAGAGAGAAAAAAAAGATCGGTCGCAATAACGAGGACACCGACCTGCACCCCATTCGTCTCTGTCCGTTCTTTCGTTGGAGGAATTAAGCGTTATAGCGACGTTACGCTAAGAGACATCAATTTTCGCACTGGGCTACATCCCGGATTGCTAAGTCTCCCTTTTTAGAAACAAAATAGGGGAAAAATCCAAGTAATAAAATTCCTCGCGATTGCAAAATTTTGCGAACAAGAGGGATAACACATAAGGGGAGTTCAAAGTTATCGCGACTCAGTTCGACGATTTAATTATAAATTCACTTTTTGGAAAGTCGATCGAAAGCAGAGACGGGAATTATTTGCCATGATTCGCGCGTACAATGACGATGAATCTTGAGAACAGAAGGAAAAGAGACGTCCCAAGCGGGAGAACGTCGATTAATTCTTATTGTCAGGATCGGGCAGAGTCGAAGGAAAATATAACATCCTTGGATGACCACCTGATCTCGGAATAGGATCGACTATCACGATCTCGATTCCAGAGGGACAATTGGATCGGTCGCTTCGCTCCAACCGTTCGAATTTCGGACCCAATCGGATTTGTACAAAGTGTTCATTTAAGAACGTAGCTTATTAAAAACCCTCCACCACTCTTTGTTCCCTCTACCCTCTACGCCTCCTTCATTCGACCGGTAATTTGAATTTTTTTCTTTAAAACGTTTCCAATTAATTTTCCGATTCCCAATTTCCAATTACTCTTTTTTTTTTTCAAACGACCACGCGAAGTATAGCATAAATCTAGGCTAGGGTAGAAAACGATGCCAATGCTCTAATTAAAATGCACAACCACGACACATCGGCATAAGGGAATATTGTACGCACGATTGTACAGCTGAACGTGGAAGGATCCTTCGACGGCGCGAAACTAGATTGAGAGGAAATTAATTAAGATGGCACTGTCCGGGATCAAACCACCCCTTTTCGCACACCCTATCTACCGACTTGTGCAGGAACATTCCATGCATAGCTTGCGGCTACATTTCAGGCTGCTACATCACCAAATCCTGTCCCTTCCACCGCCTTGCACCCTTTACCCAGCTAGTAGTAGACACCATTCCCTCGCTGGTACCGGAAACTGCGCACGATGTATTCGTGGCGCCAGGTATATCCATCTATATATTCGTGTTATACAACGATGATACTATCCATTTACACATTTCAATAACAATCACCTCACAGCCATTTCTCTCTCGTCCATGAATATTGCTCTTCGTTAAATCGAAAGATTGAAATTTAGACCCAAGTTTAGATCGAGTTTAAACGACGAGACTTATTCAAAATAATTCTGTAATAAGGATTACTGATAAACCATTCGTTCTCAATCGATGTAATTCTTCTATTATTCCTTTTCTTTTTTTCTGCCTTGCGAAATT